TAATAATTCAAAAAAATAAAAAAATAAAAGTATCTCTAAATTATGAGAAATTTTTGCGGAATACTTACGTATAGCTTGTAAAGTGGAGATTTATTTTTTATTCTCAAGTTGTAGATAAGTAAAAAATCGATTTCCTAGATATGGTATGCTATTTTCTTCAAATTTACCATAGTTTTGGTTCTGATTTTGGGAACCAAATTGTATTTCGTCTCGAATTTTTCCGTCCGTCCTAGTCAAATTATCCAAAATTGTTTGACCAGATCCGGTACGGATCCCATGCCCATACCCATACTATTGTCGTGTCGACACGGGTGCGGCACCTAAACTGCCGTGTCGGAGCAACTTAGGCGCTCAACATGTTTTGAGCCTCGCTTCAAGGCTTAAGCGCGCCTTTGATAATACTGACTTGTAATAGTCTTGAGTAGTTTATGAAATCTGCCCAATTAGCGAAATGGATATTGATTATTTGTAAAAGCCGATGAGGCATAGTTTGTTGTCGTGATTGTTGTAGTTATTATAATCTTCTGTCTAACATTGAGTAGATTTGACAAGCTTAATTCTTTCCTTTATAAAGATTTATAACTTTCCCTGTCAGTTTACAGAGCTGATGCACAAAAATTTGAAGAATGGGCTCGTACTCAAAATGCCAATACGCTAGTTGACTTCTCATCCAGAGATGGAGAAGTTGAAAACATTCTGAAAGATATTGCACAGCGAGCTGGAACCAAGGATAGTTTCTGCTACAGTCGGCTATTTGCGGTTGGTCTCTTTCGCCTACTTGAGTTGGCAAATGTAACTGATCCAACCATCTTAGAAAAGGTAGATATCATAACTTTCTTCATATTAGATTTTGTATCTTACAAGAACTTCCTGCTCATATCTGTTTACTTTAATTACTTAAATCATCTGGAAACACCAGAAGCACTCAGGCTTCTGTGAACCTGTCATGCTCTGGAAATAGTTATGGTCAAGCGCAATGGAATTTAGTATCAGAAAGAAGGTTAGACATGCCTTAGGAGTTGTAAGCCCATATCTGGGTGAGAAGCATATAGATTTTCAATTTTTATTTGCATAGCTAAACACTGGGTAAATTGAAAAGACCAAAAAAAGAAAAAAGAGAAAAGAATAACCGAAACAAAAACACAGTATAGGTTTTCAAGTTACATCTTGGATAGAGCTCTAAATATCGGGAAACCTGATTCAAGTCATAAGACTGATGACACATCTTTTCTCTTAGAGCTTCTCAAGTGCTGGGGCTCGATACAATTTCCGTCCTTGTCTTTTCACTCATGTTTGGGTGCTAGACTCTATACTTTATTAGAGCCAGATTTAGTAAACCTACATTATCATTCTGGCTTGTATCAAACAGAGCAAAGCAAATGAATAGAAACCAGTCAGAGAATTGGAGAGAAGTCTTGGGAAAAAGAAGGATCATTTCCCCACTCATTTCCCGTCCTGGCTACACCTTCTACCTTGCCTTGAATTAGACATGTCCAGGCCTCTGATTTAGTGATTTTCGTTCAGTTTTCTGACATCTAGTGTGCAATTTCCTTCTCTGCTTTAATCTGAAGCAGATTACACTCCTCTTCCCCTGTCGTGAGTTTTAGTTGATCTGATACTAATGTCTGTTAGTAGCAAAAGGATCAGCAGAGGTACTCTTTCATTGCTATTTGCTTCAGGTAAATCATCAGCCATTAGCAACAGCATTTCCCAACCAGACTGATTGCTGCTAAATTCTTCAAACTCTGGTCATCTCTTTGCGCCCTTCTGTGAAAGTTCAGCTGCAATCTTCTTCTTTTGTCTTTGCACAAAGCCTGAAGCCAATTCCCACTGTTTGATGCCAAGAAGCTTACCACAAAACGCTTTTTACCCATTCAAAGTTAAGTTTCTTAAACGAGCAGAAGATTCGCCTTCAGCATGTAGATCATTTATAATTGAGGTTTTGCTCAATATAGTTGGTTATGGATTAAGTGATTTGACATGAATGCTTCGGTTATGAACCAAATCGATTTTAAAGAGATTGAACAGAAAGGCACTGAAACTCAACCGATATCTCAGAGTTGCAATTTATATTGGAGGAACTCGGTGGAGTGGACTTATTTTGATTTTTGATGAAAGATAATTCACTCACTTTTGACACTTTTTGTTAGCTGAATACACATTTATAATCCTTTCAGTTACCTTGCCCATTTTCTCTGTTTCTATTTCTTCTTGACACTTTTATATTTATGAAAAAGATGAATGCCCATGAGAGCTACGAATCACAGAAAAAGTAAATGTGAAGCATTAAACAAGTGTTTAAAATCTTACATGGTGAATTTTACGATATAAGGTAAAATCATACCTTTGTGTAGTGTATGGACTAAAATTACCATTTAGTACCAGGAACTGTATAAATTTTACTTGAAAGAGCGTTGAAATCTACGTTATATAAAAGATGGTTACGGGGAAGTGTTAATTTTGAAGTCCAAGGTATGAGTTCTCAGGAAATCTTTGAGAAAGAGAGACACTGACGGAACTCGTCATAGAACAAGGAAAAAACTCATGGATTAATGGCCAAAATTGTACAAATTGGAACTCTTTGTGTTATTGACAATTCTATGCAAGTTATTCAATGGATTTAACCAGTCTATAATACCCCTGGGATTGTAACAGAAACATCAATCTTTAGCTAGTCTTTTACTGAGGTTGTGGGTGTCCGGCCTTCAGGAGTTCTACCATCTCTCTCTGTCACTGTTAATCACCTACCGATGCTAGCATTTCTTGATTGCACTTCATGAATCAACAAATGTGTCATTGTTAGATAATGATCTTCACAAACAGTTACATCCATCACTAAAGAGGAAAAAGAAAAGGAAAACAAAGAAAAGCTCAAATATTTTTTCTCATCTTCAACATTATCCTCCATTAAAGATGAAATTCAAGGTTTCTCTGAAAAGCAAGCAATTTCCTTAATAGCCCCCATAGTCTACGCTTCCTCCCATGAGATTGATTTTGTTTTTTAACCCGCGTGAGAAAGAAATAGGTTTCAGTTAACCCTCAATGTATAACAAAAATGAGATTTCCATGTGCTTTGTTGATTATACCACAACTGCTTTTCTTTCTTTCGTGAATATGCTGTACGACAAGAATGCTTATATGAAAGCTCTCCTTTAGTTAGAGTTTCCTTGTTATACTCTTCATATTAAGCTCTTTAGTGTATTTTTCAAGAGATTTGTGCTAGTAAGCAAAAAGAAGAAAACAATTGAAACTTGAGAAAATCTTGAGTCAAAAGAAAAAAAAGAAAAGAAAATGTCACTTGTTTAAAATGATGGAACAACAATAGACTTCCTTATGATAGGAGTAACTAGTGTAGCAGGTTTGTTTAATGTGCACATAGAGTCGAACCCCCTTTAGATGTTTATGTTCATGAAACTGCAACGGACTTGGAGGTGAATATATTGTTGACTTGTGAAATTGGCATGACAGCTTTGTGCTTCACTGAATATAAACAAGAAAAGTGTGGATAGGGACCTTGATGTTTATCGCAATTTGCTCTCCAAGCTGGTTCAGGCTAAAGAGCTGTTGAAGGAATATGTGGAAAGGTTAGAGTTTCTCTTTTGTTTGACACTAATTGGTGTCCTTTCTCTAACTGTTTTCTAAGAACTTTTAAGCTGCTTTCTCGCATGCATGCTTCTTGGATAAGCTCTAACGAGATTTTGTTCATCATATTCTGCCTGAAATCCATGTCTGTCCTCTTACCAAACCCTTTCTCAGAAAAAAAACCCTCTTCTTTTCCTTCCTCCATCTTTTACATTCTTCACATGCATTTTGGAACAGTGCAAATATATTCGATCAAGACCTTGACTCGTGAATTTTTTTTATCATTTAATCTCAATTATACGATGTATCTGTCATCCAGGGAGAAGAAAAAAAGAGGAGAAAGGGAATCTCAGAAGGCCAATGAGGCTGTCACAAAATGCTTGGGAGATTACCAATATGCTGGGAGGTAAGGCAAAGATCATTTCGTTCTCCTGCTTGGACCTCATTGACTTGTTTCCCAAATGAAACAGTCCATGTATGATAGAGTTCAGTCTCCAAAGCTCAGTCAAGTTATATTAGAAAATGGAAGTTACGTTCAATGTTTTGTTATTACAGCAATTGAGGTATATCCCAATGTTCATTATTTTCTGGTTAAACAGAATAGCTTTATTGTTGCAACTATGTCTATTATATTTGTAGATAAAACCTCGAGTAGTGACAAAAATCAAGATTTGCTCAGCAGTCATGCTTCTCATTTTCTTTGGTTCTGCTTTTGCTTCAAGTTGTAAACAGTGCTTTACAACTATCTATACGTTTTAGTTGGCAAACTAATGTTTGTTGATTATCAGAGTACTGATAAAATCAGATGAACTCTGCTGTAACAATTCACTATGTAGAGAGAGCTCTTCAAGTGGGTGAGTATTCATACTTGCAGAAAATATGTGAAGGTAAAATAGTAATTATATCTGCCACCTTATCCTCGGAGATCAGGGCCTTTACGTATACTTTAGAGAACTTCGTCAGTTATTTGATTGCAGATTTTAAAGTTCCATTTGTGTTTTTCTAAAGACACGTTCTTAATTAAGATACGCAAAATCTTAGATTCGTAGTGTTAGTCGCTAAAGGTATCCACAATTGTCTTAAATCTTGAAATGTTACAACGTCTACTTCAAAATAATACTCACATTTTTTATACCGTCCCATTTACAGTGATATAGAAATTTCCCATGACTGAAATGCCACTAAAATCTGTGGTCATTTACAAGGTTGGGATTAGTACAGTGCTTTAAGTTTAAACCATATTACCGTATACCAAGAAAGACTGAAATGCCTCTATACCATTTGGTTGTCATACTCCGACTTTAGATTGAGTAGAAGCAAGTATGCCCGAGACGCATGCTCCGTTCAAATTTGAATGGCATTCCCGATCTGTCACTTTTGGTAGAGAATGCAAGTTTAGAAGTCAAGTAATGCTCCGCTTAAAGAAATTGGCATGCTAGATGGATCATTTCAAGCGACTCCTTAATCATACACTAAAAGTCGTTAAAGTTGCTCCTTTACACCACAAACAATTGGTTTTCTACCAAAAACCTCTAAAATAGTCTTTTAAAATCCGACATGGCGCATCTTTTTGTCTCCTATACAGCAAAAGGAATGCATCCTTGTCTCCTATACAGCAAAAAGGAATGCATCCTTGTCTCCTATACAGCAAATGGAATATAGAGCTAGCTGTAAACAAAGAGGAATTATGAAACTAACTGAGACGAGAAACATCGACCTCATCTGGAATTTTGAAAGTATCTGCTGCCCCAAATTTCCTCCTTCCTTCATCGACCGAGTTTTCATCATCACTTTCAACATCGTCAGCTTCATGATTGATATGACTTGAGGGATCGTGTATACTTTTGGCTCTGCAATCACGAGTAGCAAGCATCTTTACCTGGCCAAGGTGAGAAATTTCTACCACAACGGTGTCATCATCTTCAGGTAAGGGTTGCTTCCAGGGTTCCCCATCTATCCTCATAAATGTATGGTCAGCTGCACCCTTGTGAAACTCAAATCGGATTCTATGTGCCTACATATAGGGAAACCATAAAGGATATGAGCATCTGAGTTTTAGGATGAATAATAAGTGAAATAATAAGTTTTTGGATTACTCTATAAGCTCAATTATTTTTAGTCCTGTGTTGCTATATAAATATTTTCATTTAACAATCTTAAACCAAAAACATTTGATAACTAGTATTATCACAACTTCTCATCGGTCGACATTCAATATTCACGCAAATATTTGTAACAACCATAATTTATTCCTAACCTGGGCAAGACGAGTCCCATGTCCTTTTGGAGCAAGAAGGACTAATCCGTGCCAAGCATCTCTGAATCCGACAACCTCAAGAAGGCCATCGTCTACAAATGGGGGAGTCAAGTCCCTCTGTCCAATGAAGAAATATATGCACGTCAATATAACTAAAAAAGAACCAAAAAAATTCAAGAAATAAATAATGGCTAAACTTTATCTGCATCCGGTGTTTATGTCAACCCAGTAATAACATTAATATGGATTTTCTCATTCATTACTTAACCATGATAAAGTACATTGATTTGGTGTAAACACCGGATGCCGGTAGATAACACCCAACCCCCCCCCCCCCCCCCCCCCCCAAAAGCATACCAACTGTGAAAAGAAATAAGCTAAAGCCATAAACAGTCAAGGAACCAGAAAAAGGGGCAGATTGGAGGAATTTATTTTTGGAATACATACATATCGGCGTTTGTTGTTATTTGGTGTTCCCCAAGGATTTAGTCCACCGGAAAAGCTAGGCAAATTGAGGCATACGATTGACCTGACACTGGACAACAAAGAAAAAGAACAGTTACAACTCATAAACTCATCGGTAGGTTGTTCGTCGGGAACCAATTTCATTAAGCATGATAAAAGCAGTAATGCAACCACAAATAGGTTACAGCAAAACAGCCAAAATATTCTATTTTGAAGAATAATGCAGAGAAGTAAATTGTCAAGTCGTCATCTAAGGTTCCTATACTACAAGTAACTAAATACTACCTGTGAGGAATTTGAAGGTCTTGCCATTCACCCTGCTTTTTCATAATCTTAACCTTAGTCAGTTGAGCTATGTTCCTGCAGTAAACTAAAATTAGCAGCTAATGGAAATCAGTAAATTCTCATAGTTGTACCATCATAGGAGATGATAGTGAAATATTCAATCCAGAAGTAATTAACTTGAACCGTCTTATGACAGGAAAAGTTCTTATTTTTTTCAAGGTTTTGTCAAATTTATAATCGTTACTTGGCAAAATTATGAACAGGAAAAATGCTGGGAGGAAACTAATGACAGCTGCACAAGTTAATTTCTTTCTATCCCAAGTTATTGTCATTGTTTACCAGGCAAGGGAAATAATGCAAGGCTTGAAGTTTTCTGACATTGTCATGTATGTAGTGTAGGAACAATCAACTTGTGTAAATTTAGTGTAGAAATTGCTAACAGTTAGCTATTCATTATGTTGATAGGCTACTCTGCTCGTTGCTGTGTTAAAAAAAAAAGAGCATGGTTTTTTTTTGAAGAAATTACACTAGGATGATCCAAAAAGAAAAGAAATTTAAATTAGAAAAGAGGAATATCTCACTAAGTAACCAAGAGCAATCATCAAGTTACCGACATAATTCCTGTTTTTCATTTTCCGACAAGAAGATTCAAGCAAATTGACATGGCTATTTAAAGTTAGTGCATAAGATCAAGGATTTGAAAGAATAGAAGATTGTAAGACATCCTGTTACAATCTGGACGAAATTCTAGAAGTGAATATGCCAGTCTCGGGAGTCTAAACTATATGATTATTCCAATTTTAATTTATCTGTTGAAAAATGTTTAGGTGCTGCGCACCTCATGCCTTCAAGGAGGTGAAGCTTCCACAAAAAAGAATACAGTTATTTTGCATAAGATTTGGAAGGATTTATATATAAAAACTACACTGCAAACTCACCTCGAAGAAGGATGAACGAGAGGGGCAAAAAACCATCCTTGTGTACATCCTAGCTTTAAATATGCACTCTACGGAGCAAGAAAAATTAGCATTAGGCATCCCTTCAAATACTATCTTGTATCTACTCTGAAACAATAGATAATCTCAGATAATTTGGATCATCTACAGAATTTTAAGAGATGCTAGAACACTACATCAAGAACGAAAAAGGCAAAATCACTGCATTTGACTTAGGATAGAGAAACCACGAATTCCATTTGGTCATTAAATTCTAAGTAAAAAAATTTAACATGGTATGATGTGGCAATCATAAACTGTTATGTTGCTCAGGAACCTAATAGTGGCATTTCTCACTTTGCTCCCGAGGGTCCTTACCACTGGGATATCCCTCATTTATCTTCAGTACCAGTCATTGCAAATTGCTTTACTGTACATCAGTATCATTAGAACGAGAGAAAGAAGTAGAATGGTAGAACATGTCCTTAGTAACGTAACAGAAGGTGAACACAACTGTAAATGATCAACCTCCAAGAAATGAGATATGCCCCATATACTTGACGCATCAACACAACTATATTCATATTAAAGCAAAGTGGTAAATGTAGTTCCCAACCATAATAGTTTTGGTTACTAATTCATTAAATTATCCTTCTGTTTTTTCCTGCTTATGAATAAACTCCCAAAGTAAGCAAATGCTCCCTAATCATATGCCAATTAGCTCTTTAGAGATACTTAGCATAATCTAGTGACTTAGAAGCCGCATCCATAGAGATACCAACTACCAAGCAATGAAACCTATTAATATGGATCTCTAGAAGCATGTACCACCTAAGATAAGGCGGATGACTGGACTTAAGACATTAATTCACATAGCTATAATCAATTTAAAAGGGACCCAAAAAAAAAAGAAAAAGATGAGATTCTGTAGAATAGTTTCCAGAGGTATAATCAATTCAAGGAGGACAAACTATACTGATGAAATAAAGCGGCATACCACCAGTAGGCAAAAGCACCATGATCTTAGTCTTCTCACATATGTTCCTATATCCTAGTAAGCATAATACCACCTACTTCCCTCTGTCAACGTATTTAAGATTAGGAAAAACAAAACCAGCTAGGATGGACCTTAATCAGTTTCTTATCCTTTTCTTCCAGTCAACCATATTGCTAGCAATTAGCATCGAAGAGTAGGTACTCAACATGACTTCAGGACAAGCCCATATTCGTGTATTTTTTGAAACATTAGCCTAGTGGACAATATTAGAAGTGCTTTGGGCTTCGAGAATAGTTCGAGGGAGATATACAAAAACAAACTAAAAATCAATAAAGCATTAAACGCTTATCTCACAAAATAGGGAGGAAATAACACGTTTTGCATAGTATTTACAAAGGTAGCACGTCAATTACTTGGTTTCTGCAGATTGGATACACTAGGTTTTATAGGAGGGTCTACGGCACGTAAATCAAGACAAAGATGCAATATATGGTACTTTTCTTTGATCTATCATATATTCTCATCTTCCTCAACAGCAGAGATCGTAAAGCTGGAGTGTCGTTGACTCAAATTTCTATAAGCTGATACCAGTACAAAGTTAACACTAGAAGCTATTTCACTTTTAGCCTTCTGTGTTATAGATACACATAGAACAGAACCTATTAAGCCTTACAAGATATTGTGGACAGAAAATCTTGACCCCTGCGGACAAGAACCAACCCTACATCTTCAACTATCTGTTTTGTCAGAGCGTCATTAATTTGAGAGTAAACTTGTTTTTCTTCTAGATAGAACAAAACAAAAAGGTCCATAAGCATAAGACTAGGAAACGTTTACTTCATTAATAATTCGTATGCAAAGATAAAGAGAAATAAACCAAAGAGAAGCCTTATCATCTTTATTTTGTCATTCACTTTCCTACCTGATTGACAAGTTGGTTTTTGAATTTCTCAGGGTTCATTTTTCGCTCTGAGTGAAATGCATAAGATACTTGTGCATCCATCCCTGTTAACAGAGAATTAGTGTTAGATGTGGTAATAGATGAATAATAGCACAAGCAAAGAAATAACTTCAGATCATAGTCTTTGTAGGTTAGGACACATACCCATAGACATTTTGTTTATGTCTATAGGAATTCTATGTTCCTAATCATCCTATTATCGTCATTCACGAAGATGAATTACTAATTCAGGCCAAATTAATACTGCTTCTGGAAAACATCTATTGAGTTAATTCACTGACCTTTCAAGTTTGCTGTAATTTGAAGGACCTCCTTTTTTCTTTTAAAGTATTTATACTATGAAAAGATTTGGAGTGGCACTTTCTCTATAATGAAATTTCTCTGCTCTACTTTGATACAAGAATTAAGATGAGCAAATATGGGTATTTAAAACACCTACCTGGTAAATTAACTCAGAACTAACAGTCAAACTAATAATTGATTTACAGAACGGGAAAAATGAGAGACCAAACTCAGTAGAAGGTTTATAAATCTATCAGTATCAACTATACCTCAATTCTGAAGTGGGCTACGTGAATACTGTATTGGTTCTGCTCTACAAGCTCATTTCATTCTAAATTCGTATGTTAAGGCAAATTAGAAGTTTTCTAAAGCTAGAGGTTATAAAACGCCCAGGTTCATACCTACTCGGAACTAATGTAATCGTAACAACAACTAAGCCTTAATCCCAACTATTGAAATTGGCCTATATGAATGCTCTGCTTCCATTGTGTTATGTATTAATTTAAGTCTGCTTGATTCCAAAAGATTGTAGGTCTTTAGAAACAACTTTCCTTCCTGTAATTTCAGGTCCACCTCATCCTCTTTAGCAATTTTTTCACTCCCCCC